TCTCCAGCATCATTTCTATCACCAAGGCCATATTTTCCAACTACTGATCCTTCCTCTTTGCTCCCAACTTCTACATTCCAAACAATGATCAATACATCTTGATTGCATGTTCGATCAATTTCAGATTGAAGAAGTTGGTAGAATTCTTCTATGTCATCCTCATTGGCTTTAGTGGTTGGTGCATAAATTTGAATAATAGTGGTATTAACTGGGCTTCCCTGCAGGCACGTGGATATTATCCTATCACAAACAGCGTTGTAACACATGACTGACCTGGATATGTTCTTTTTGACAATGAATGCAACACCATTCCTCTTCAGTTTGTCATTTCCGGCATAGTGAACCAAGTAGTCATCAGAATCAAAATGGCCAATACCAGTCCATTTCAGCTCACTAAGGCCTAAGATATCGATGTTTATGTGTTGCATTTCGTTTTTTACAACTTCCAATTTTCCCTGTTTCATACTTCGTATATTCCATGTTCCGAGTTTCAATGGATGTTTACAGCTGTTTCTCTTCATTTTGAGTTGTGCCCCATCAGGAAATGAAGGTCCCGTGGGCTTTTCTCCCACTTGCTTTACTCCATTTGCATCATCACGGTCAACTCTACTTTGAGGAGGCAGCTCTTCCCCAGTTGCATTTTGAGTGCCTTCCAACTTGAGGGGCTCATTTTCCAGCACTATATCTGACAACGTTTTTCTGCTATTCATAAGGATTTCAGTGACTAAGTGTTTGAAAGTAGTTTGTCAATCCTTCTTCCTAGTCTGTCTTTGTCTGGAAGCTCATCTGAAACCTGTCCACCATGGGTGACCCTGCTCACAAGCCACCACAATGTGACAAACTGACAGAGGAGTGGTAGATGAGAAGGTGGGTAGCATGGAAATAAGAACCAGAGGAAGGAAGTGGGATAAATGCTATTACATGGAAGGGATTGCAATCACTGAAACAAAACTAAGTGTCTGATTTGTTGAATGTAAAACAGATGATTTTCCCAGTAAACCTTCACTCACTTCACAACAAAAAGATTAAAAAACAAAAACTAAACTTCTTGCCACTATGTTGATTACAAGTCATGGAGATGGTGTGTTAGAGTGGAAGTGACACAGGGTTTTCTGGGAGTGGGCCACCAGGCCTTTGTATGGGTACAAACTCCAATCTTTCTTGTATAGCTGAGTGCAGACTGTTTGTGCCGCCCAGAGACTTACTTCTGAGGATGCATTCACAGCATGACTCCTGATCAGAAGTGTGAATATGCTTATGAATTCCTTTATGTTCCTTTCATAGTACATGTTGATTTTAAAGAAAAATATGTTTATTAATGCAGCTCGTTTTGGAAGAGGGATAGCATAATAGATATATTATCCTATCCTCTGTGAGTCTCTATTTCCCTTTCTATAAAATGAAAATGAAAATATTTGGATGATTGTGAGGAGGATGAAAGGAAATAGATCTAGTGTATAAAGAGCCCCATGATGGTGATTATCATTACCCAACTATCTTTATATACAAAAGCAGCATATGCGTGTCATTACAGCTTTGACCGAATACTGATGAACTCCAAAGCCAACTGTGGTCCCTCTGATAGCTCTCATCGATAGCCAAACTACAGTCCCTTCTGATAGCCCTCATCGATAGCCAACTACGGTTTCTTCTGATAGCTGTCATCGATAGACAACTATGATCCCTTCTGATAGCTCTCATCGACAGCTAACTACTGTCTCTTCTGATAGTCGTCATTGATAGCCAACTTGCTCACTGACTCACCTGAGCGGTTTGGGACTGCACTGGTGGTCTCCAAGGCTCTGTTCTGTAGCAATGTTCCCACTGCACTTGTTACCGTTGGTCCTTTTGTGGGACTCATCTGACCCCGACCCTAGAGGGGGCAAGGAGGAGAGAGAGACAGTTCTGCCATCTCAGGTACCATACCATAGAGATGTTTCCACTTAAATCAGCATCAGACTGTACCCAGGAGGTGACAGGCATGGCCTACAGCCCAGGAAGTGTGATTTCTGCCCTCCCTGCTGGTGCTCAAAGCCATATGTGGGCCTGGAGACTACCACCCCATAATTAAGCTCTTGGAGGAGTGGGAGGACTTTAATCCTCCAAAATGAGCTAATATGGAGGCAGAGGAGGCCATTTAATATCAACAAGGGTAGTTAGGGAACAGTTTACTTTTTCATTATACTTGAAGATGATTTTGTTTTTTAACATGGAGACAGAGAAGAAAAACAGAGATTGGCAGGCAGCAAATGTTTGCAACATGGAATCCCAACTTCCCCACTGGTTCCCCCAGCAGATGCACAGCTGATGAGTCTGGGAGTGGACCAGCGGAGCAGCATAGTTACTTGAAAACAAAACAAGCACCAAAAGGTTTCTGAAGATCTCCTTTCTACCTCGTTACTGGTCTGACCTCCATTTCCATGGAAACGGCCATTTAAAGATAACCTGTTACTCTGAGTGAGCATTCTCACTTGGGCACGGGTGGCAGTAAAATCACAGCAGCCAGTGTGCTCCCCAACCAAACAAAAAAAGCTATTTTTAGAGGCCCATGTTGGGCTCTTTGGGGAAGGCTATGGCACATTTTAAAAGTTGATTATATTTAAAATAGAAACACATTTCTACCGTGCTGAGCACAGCCCTTCAAAGAGAAAATGACACCTCTTTTTTTGTTCCACTTCTGAAGAAGCTGTGCTATTAGGCGCGGCCCGAGCTGGTGAAGCCGGCAGAAGGGAAACAAATAATGCTGTTCAGCTATACTCTAGGGTGAGTGAAGGAATTCAGAAAGCAAGCAGTTTTCCTTCTGTGTTCCCAATCACCACTGAGCTCTGGACAACAAGGAGAGGAAGGGGGCCAAGTCACTGGTTATACTCAGGGATGTCCAGATGGCCTTCCTCAGGAACAAAAAGCGCTGACGTGTGCTGCTCTGCTGCACGCTTGCTCCCACAGGGGTTCTCTGGGGAGAGGAGCCATCCCCACAAATGCAACTCTCCCTCCGTGCTTCAGAAAGCGCAGGTAGAGTTATAAGTTGAATTAAAGCCCCAAGTGTTCACACATTCCTCCAAAACTGGGGTGCCTATCCAACACAGAGAAAAGATTTCCAGAGATGGAAGTAAAAACAATTGCCATGGAGTGGACCCCAACTCTTGGTGGCCCAGTGATTGTCAAAACCATGGGGTTTTTCAATGGCTGATTCGTTTTTTTCCAAAGTAGACATCAGATTCCTTTTCTGAGGCACCAGTGAGTAGATTCAAACTTCCAAAATTTGGGTTAGCAGCTGTTTGCACCTCCCAGGGATTTCAGAGAGGGAAGAGGCTGGGGTAATGTGGTGACAGGAAGGGCCGAGGCATTGACATGTTTTGAACTCCTTTGCACAAGGCACTGAACAAGGCATTTTACTAATATTATCTGCAATCCTCCCAGCACCTCTGAATGATGGTACTATCAACACCTCCTTACAGAGGTAAGCGAATCTCAAAGAATTACACCAACTTGCCAAAGTTAATCCGAGGGGCTTCAAAAAGTTCATGGGGTAAACTCCATTATCTCTTAATTCCATTGTTTCATGAACTTTCCCAAACCCCTTCATACATACATACATACACACATACATACACACACATGCACACACACACACACACACACACACACACATATATATATAAAATCAATTATATGAGGGGACTTGAGAAAGTTCATAGAAACAATGGAATTAAAAGATAAAAAGAAACTTTATTTCTCAACATAAGCTCCATCAACTTCACACTTTTGTAATGATTGCTGTTGCTGTTGTGTGCTATGGAGACAGTTCCAACTCATAGTGACCCTGTACAGCGTTTCCGAGGCTGTAAGTCATAAAGATACCAGTCATTTATTCCATCCCTAGAGAACTGAGGGTCCTCGGAACTTAACCATGTCAATGCAGTCCTTTTTGTCTTATTAACTGAAGGAAAATGAGTGTCCTTAAAGATTTTCAAAGATCGTTGTTATGCTGTTAGGGGCTGCCGCTCAGTTCTGACTCAAAGTGACCCCACGCACAAGAGAAGGAAACACTGGCCGGCCCTGCACTGTCATCACAATTGCTATGCTTGAGTCCATTGTCGCTGTCACTGTGTCGATCCATCTCTTCGACAGTCTCCCTCTTTTTCACAGAGGCTCCACTTTACCAAGCATGATTTCCTTCTCCAGAGACTGGTCCCTCCTGACATGTCCAAAGGACTAAGGATGAAGTCTCACCATCCTTGGTTCCAAGGAGCATTCTGCTTGTACTTCATCCAAGACAGATAAGTTAACAAAAAGATTAAGAAGCAAAAAGAAATCAGACTTAGCCAAATCAGGATTGTAAGGTAGATATTAATGATTTCCCAAGGATGCTCACAGCATCGCCCTTGTTTGAGGAGAGGAATGAGCAGCGGCATTGTTGTGGTAGACAAAGGTTGCCTAGTTAAGCTTTCTTAGACAGTTTTCGTTAAAACTTTGGCTTACGTTCTCAAAACACACTCATAACAAACAGACAGTATCATTCTCTGGCCCTCCAGAAAGTCAAACCCAACGGGCTTTGTTGTTGTGGTTAGTAGGTACTACTGAATTGCTTCCAGCTCCTAGGGAACCTACGTACAGCAAAATGAAACACTGCCCGCTCTTGTCTCATCCTCACCATTGTTGTTATGTTTGAGCTTGGTGTTGCTACCACTCTGTCAATCTATATTGTTGAGAATCGTCTTCTTTTTCACAGACCCTCCATTTTTCCAAGCATGATGATGCTTCTCCAGGGACTGGTCCCTCCTGATAGTATGTCCAAAGTATGAGAGACAAAATCTTCTCATCATTGCTCCTAAGGAACATCCTGGCTATACTTCTTTCAACACAGATTTGTTTTTCTTCTGACAGTCCATTATACTTTCAATATTCTCCAACACTGTAATCCAAATATATTGATTTTTCTGAGGTCTGCCTTATTCATTGTCCAATTTCACATGCATATGAAGCTATTGAAAATACCATGACTGGGTTAAGGTGCACCTTAGTCCTCAAAGTGACATATGTGATCTTGAACACTTTTAAAGATGTCTTATGCAGAAAATTTGTCTAATGCAATACATTATTTGATTTCTTGACTGCTGTTTCTGTGAGTGTCGACTGTGGAACCTAGCAAAATGAAGTCCTTTGACAACTTTAATCTTTTCTCCATTTATCATGATGTTATTTATTGGTCCCATTGTGAGGATTTCTGGTTTCTTCACATCAACATGCAATGCATATTGATGGTTGTAGTCTTTGTTCTTGATCAGTAAGTATTTCAAGTCCTTCTCTATAGGGTTGCTATGGGTCAGAATTGACCTGAAGACACTTAACAACACAACAGAAGTGCTTTCAGCAAGCAAAGTTGTGTCATCTGCATATAACAGGTTGCTAATGAGTCTTCTAATCCTGATTCCACATTCTTTTTTATGTAATCCATCTTCTGGGATTATTTGCTCAGCATACAGATTGAGTAAGTATGATGAAAGGATTCAACCCTGTTATCACCTCAATCTGTTTGAACAACTGCCTATTGGTCTATGTACAGGTTCCTCATGAGCACAATGAAGTGTCCAAGAATATCCATTCTTCAACGAATGGGTTTTTATGATCCACACAGTCAAATGATTTTGCATAATCAATCAAATATAAGTAAACATATTTCATGTTATTCTCTGCTTTTAGCCAAGATCCATCTGACTTCAGCAATGATATCCCTTGTTCCAGATCCTGGCATTTTCCCTGTCGATGTACTGCTGCAACCATTTTTGAATGACCTTCAGCAAAACTTTACTTGAACATAATATTAATGATATACTATGAGTTCCAAAGACAAATATTACAATGAAATGTGCAAAAATCTGGAGTCAGAAAACCAAAAGGGAAGAACACGCTCAGCATTTCTCAAGTTGGAGGAACGGGGAAAAAGAAACTCAAGCCTCGACTTTTGTTATTGAAGGATTCCCTGGGCAAATTATTGAATGATGCAGAAAGCATCAAAGGAAGATGGAAGGAAGGAAGGAATACAGAGTAACTGAACCAAACGGAAATGGTTGATGGTCAACCATTTCAAGAGGTAGCATATGATCAAGAGCCAACAATACTAAAGGAAGAAATCCAAGGTGCATTGAAGGAATTGGCAAAGAACAAGGCACCAGGAATTGATGGATTAAAAATTGAAATCTTTCAAGAAAATGAGGCAGCACTGGAGACACTCACTCATCTATGCCAAGAAAATTGGAAGACAACTATCTGGCCAACTGATTGGAAGAGATCTGTATTTGTGCCCGTACCAAAGAGACGTGACCCAATGGAATGTGGAAATCATCAGACAGTATCTTTGATAGCCCATGAGAGTAAAGTTTTAGTTTAATAAATATGGAATATGGAAAGTAAAGTAATATGGAAACGGCTGCAATCATACATTGACAGAGAACTTCGAGAGGTTCAAGCCGGATTCAGAAGAGGCCATGGAACGGTGGATATTATTGCTGATGCCCGATGGATCTTGGCTGAAAGCAGAGACTACCAGAAATATATTTACCTGTGCTTTATTGACTATGGAAAGGCTTTCGATTGTGGATCATGACAAGTTATGGACAAAAATGAGAAGTATGAGTATTCCAGAACACTTAATTGTGCTCATGAGGAATCTGTACCTGGACCAAGAGGCAGTTGTTCGAACAGAACATGGGAACACTGAATGTGTTAAAATTAAGAAAGGGGTGCGGCAAGGTTATATTCTTTCACCATATTTATTCAACCTGTATGCTGAGCAAACAATCCGAGAAACGGTTATATGAAGAAAAACATGGCATCAGGATTGGAGGAAGACTTGTTAACAACCTGTGATAT